AAGGATTTTGGCATAAAAGAGGACGCTGCTACATTGAAAGTTCAGTTCGGCCAGCTCATCGGAGTCCGGTTCAGCTCGGCTGAGCTCAGCTCAGCTGAGCCCATCAGCTGAGCCCATCAGCTGAGCCCCCCATCTCATCAGCAAGAGTTCGACCGGTGGGTCGGCTCAGGAGCGAGCTGCGACCGGCGGGTCGGCTCGACTCATCATCAGTTCGGGGGAACTCATCAACGGAGCTCCTCAACGGAGCTCCTCAGCTCCTCAGCTCACCAGCAAGGAGCTCATCACTCATCGGGGCTCAACTCATCGGAGCGGCTCCCCATCTTGTCTGCAAGCGAGCAAGTCCCGCTCGCCAGCTTATCAACCCAACTCATCAGCAAGCTAACAAGACCAGCTTGCCAGCGAAACTCATTCCTGCAGACGCAGAGGAAGTCTCTACCATCGCCAGGGTCGCAAGGGTCGCTGTTTAGCGACGAGGCCACGAACGTGCATCGCCAGCGCCGATTGCGCAACCGTGCCAAGCCGACTCCCCTCCCGCGCACGCTATGAGCGTGCTGTGTACGCCATCAAAACTACAACATCGTGGGCCAGCTGCCAAGCCGAGTCACGTCCCGCGCACGCTATGAGCGTGCTGTGTACGCCATCATAACTACAACGTGGGCCAGCTGCCAAGCCGAATCACCTCCCGCGCACGCTACGAGCGTGCTGTGTACGCCATCGCAACTACAACAACATGTCAGCTGGTCAGCCTACGTCAACCAGTGTGGGCCGAGCCTAATCAACTGATACGTATGACGCACACTGCTCCACTACACGACCAATCAGGCGTTCGCTTGACCTAAAGACTCAACTTCAAACACTGACTATTCAAAACAATTCATATCACTCAAACCTACATGGGTCCTTAACCAGAAGCCAATACTCAAGTCCATAGGCCATCAGTGGCTGTGAAGGCATTGCGGCAGATCGAGTGAACACTCTGTCGTTTATAAGTATATTCGTAATATTTCCTCCTTAATATTTTGTTTTGGGCTGTACTTCTAATCACATAAGTACCAACCAATCCATCAATACGAATGAATGCTTGACACCTTCACAACAGAGCTACGCTCACGTGGGGGGAATAGCGTATCCAACCGGCTTCCTTATCAGGCAATCTGGTCCACAATTAATTAAACGTTAGTCCAAGATAAGGATATCAGGGGAGAGAGCACACCCCACCGCACCCCCTCACCCTAAGCCATTGCGGTAATCGTATAAATCTATCCGATGGATCTGTTGAGATATTTGTGCCTTTGGGAATAATAACTGTTTCTGATCACCTTTTTCGTATTAATATCGTCATATAATCTTTAAGTACTTTTCGTTACTGATCGCGCACATACTCGCGTACTCTACAGAATACTCAACTGTTCCGTGACCTAATGTGCAACCCTTATCAACAACGTGATAAGGGTTGCTTATGGATCTATGAATAAGCGCGGTACTGTGTGTCCAAATTCCAGTATAATCTTTCATAATAGAGTGAATTCCAGTATAATCTTTCATAATAGAGTGAATTCCAGTATAATCTCTCATAATATAGTGAATTCCAATATAATCTTTCTAAATAGAGTATCAGGTTTTGTTGTGTTTAGATGTTTTAACGACTCTCTCTCTCTCTCACCAACAGCTCTCGTCACTCGGCGGAGTTAACCACAGGTGCTGTTATCAAAGTGAAACAACACCGTCATTGATGAGACTGTGTTGATACTGTGTTGTAATTCCAAGCCGAGAGTTGTATATTTTAGAGTTAAGGTTTAATTAGAAATAAATTAATTAATGCAGAAGTGGTCGTGTGATTATTTCCTGAAATCTATGCATACGATCTGGTTCTGCGATGAGATATGAACTTGGGGACCTTAAACACTCTGAGATATGAACTTCGGGACCTTGCATTAAAATACTCAATTGAGACCTGAACTTGGGGACCTAACATAAACTCTAATCCATACTCGGTAAATGCTAAAGCGAGAAGCATTGTATTATCCTGATCGATAATGCGAAGTTAAACCACGAAGCCGAGTTGACTCTTGACACTAGCATAACTGCATATGATTAATTGCATTATTCCGATTGATAACTGACCCTCGTCAACGAGGCGGGGCCTGGATTATCATAAAGGTTATCATTAACATAACCACACCCACTCGCATACATCAATACGATTATCTCTCGAATTAGCATAATTTATACACATAATTACACAAATTAACATAATTTCGGGTATATTATGCAAATTTCATTTAATTTTCGTTATTTTCATCCAATTTTCACACCCACTTATACCACCCCATGCCAATTCACGCACCAGATGTGCATTGACCAACCCAAATCTTGAGCCTCATCACCAGCATTAGTCACTGGGCACAATTTTCCTGCGGGACTCATTAACACTGCCACAATGCTTTGTTACCAAGTTTGGTTTTCCAAAAGTCACTCCACGTCGAGCTCACCGCCTAAACTATTGTTTCGTTTACCAGGTAAAACCCAGAGCTATTGTAGAGACCGCTGCTCCCCGAATCCCCACTCCTTTGCGATCCGAGGCACTCCTCTTCTACACCCGGGGGAGGGTTGCTACCCTCCGCCTCTCCTGCCTTCGCCGCTGCTCTGCGGGGTGTGGTCCCCGGCTGGCGCTTAGCCCCCCGGGATCCGTTCACACACACGCCCTACGTGCCCAGGCACTAACAAACCCGACTTCGCTACCTGCCCGGCTCCATACACCAATCACACGCGAGGGACTTGGGGTCAGGGGTTAGAGGGCAGGGGCGTCCACCGCGCACTCGCCGCCGATTGGAGGGGACACCTCTGAGCCGATTTGAAGGCCGTTTAAACAGCCGTGCGTGTACGCGAACACCGGACGCTACTCTCCTCGTCGCCGTAAACAGCCGCGCATGCACGCGAACACAAGGCACTCCACCCTCCTCCTCACACTCACAAAGACCACACTACACAGTTTATCCTCTACTGGCGATTTTATTCCCCGCGAATAACCCGCTAAACTATGCGTGAGTGTGTGGGTCAGCAGACACTAACTAGCCTATCCTTCGGGGATCCTGGACTCAATTTATCCTGCCTGGCGCACCACTTTCTACCCTCTCATTAATTAGCCCAAACTCCTCTCTCTTACTTACGATTACTTCCAATCTGATGCACCAGAAGCTGTAAAAGGGTGATGCTGTGCGTCGTCTCCATGGGGAATTGGGCCTGGCTGCGTTGAAACTCGTCACACGAACGACTCAAATGGCTGGCTCCAACACCTCACCGATCCCGATGCCTTGAAGGACTCCAGTTTTACATGCCTGAATCCCTCCTTTCATCCTTTCTACAACAAAGGAGTTCCGCTGTTTCACCCCCTTGGCCTCCCGTCTAATCAGGGGCCGGATTTTCCTGCCCTTTTGATAGTCGGATCCCAGCTCTGGTGACGTCACCGCATTGGTCCCCGCGACGTCCGCCTTGTTCTTCCCACCATCAGCCCACTGACTCGTGTTGTGTGTGCGCGCTTCCATCCGCAGTGGCTCAACAGCCCCTGCCGTGACCATGCCATTACAATCCAAGCTCACAGCGCCGCAGTGCCGTCAGCCTCGGGGGTAGGTCGCCCAATTCCCTGGCCGTAGGAAACCATGAAGCTTGATCCCAGTGGGGCTTCTGGACAAAAAAACCCGTCGGCCAGGTGACCTTCCCCCCGGCTCCACGTGGGGTATGCATGCATTCATGTGGGGGGCAGCGAGGAGCACACAGCGTTGTCAACCCCCCCCCCCCCCCCCCCCGTGGCAGCATCACAGCAGTGGGCACGGTCCCGATGGAGCGGCTCCAGTGTGGCAGCACCATACTATACGGATATTTTTCATAAGGGACCTGGCCACAAATGATAGCTCAGTGGCATGCAGAATCTTAAATCGGCCAAATGCGCGACGGGGCATGTTTCTCAATGCTGATAAACGTTGAATTTTCACGTTAAGTCGCATCGGACGTTGGACTAGGTCACCAGCAAATTAAACGGTCACCATCTGCCCACAACTTTACAATTACCTTAATTCTAGACCACATCCAAAGCAAACGTGCAGCCAAATACACAACCAGGCAGTACTGCAAGGCCTCTTATTGGTGCAGAGGCCTCCATAGGCAATTGATGAGGAGGCAAGGTCTGAAGGTATTCAAAACTGACAAGACAGGAAGCAAAGGTTGAGCTTTGAGGTGAAAGTTGTGCACCGTTGAGACGATGGACATGAGAAGGGGCTCCAAAGAGCAACATTTCGGCGGAAGGAGGCGCTTCAAGAGTCGAGCAAGTCGGGCCTAGTTGTGTAATAAAGACAAGGCTCCAAGGTTTGTCCACATCTTTACACTTCCACGAATAAGAACTTGGAGAAACGTGGATTTAAATGCAATTCCCCCCCCCCTCGCATCAATGGAGTTCTGCATATTCTGTGTAGTCCCTTAGCATATCGGAAGTTTAAGCTCAAATTTCCAGAGTCAAATGCCTTCTCATAGTTCGCAAGGGATTGGGACAAGCGTAGTTTGTAGTTATGCGTCACTCCAGGAACTCAATTTCTAGTCAACGGCCACGCTGGTAGAAATATTCAATCCCACTGATCGGGTGCGAGGGTGGCCGCTGGAACATAACGATTTTCTTTCCAAGATCTGCCGATACACGAGGGTGAAGGGAGCGTCACCCGCTTCTGCAGAAATGTATTTAGGGATGATACCCATTCTTTAGGGGGCTAATAACTGGGTATTACGTGCCACCATCAGATCTGTTTTTTAACAGTACATAGCCCGATCCTCCTGACATCGGAGGTCAGTGGGGCACTCGTGGCTCCTTTTGGGCAAAGCCAACCTAAGGAGGGGCTCCTCCATCAAGACCACCGCTATTGCACGAAACCAAATGTGCATCACGAGAAGGGAACAGCATCAACCACTGCTTGCCGGTTGAACTAGAAGAAATACGATTCACCAAGCCCAGGACCAGTTTGCCAGTAACTTTATTAGTCATCTCATTTTATATATATATTTTTTTTAAAGCGATTTATTTTGGCTTATCAGCAGAAATGGGCGGGCCAAAGGGCCCCCTGGTGAGGAACACGCGCTCCTGGAATGGGGCATGGCCGGCCACGAGGATCCTTGTCCACGTGGCCATGAACGCTTGGAAGTCCACGCTGGCGCCTTGGTTCTTGTGAAGATCCGCCATGACCTTGCGCACTTCATCCGGGTCACACGCACCCTGCATTCGTCATACAAGTGTAGAGGCGTTAACTACGCGCTGTTGCGTAACCCGCGTTGCCACCAGGGCGGTGCAGCATTACCCCTGGGTACAACGGTTGGGGTCAGTCGAGGTGAAACGGATCGTGGCCAGGGTTTGGTGCAAACCAATCAGACGGTTCCACGTGGGAATGTATGATTGGTTCTACCTGGCCACGAAGGGGTATAAGACGGGTGACCCAACGGACCTCGAGGAGTTCGCTCCCTGCACGAAGACAGAAGACTGGGCTGAAGCCTAGCTAGGACCCTGGACCAGCCTTTCAGCCCTTCTAAGGGCTAAGGCTCGGCATACCCAGTGGTCAGGACCCACCGGGCCAGCGGTGGGTCAGATAGCCTCCCCTAGGTCCTAGCCGGAGGACTAGGATAGCGGTAGACGTGTGAGTCCCGCCAAGTCCGGAGGTTGTACCTCCTTAGGTATCAAGGAGGTTAGCGGTAGGCGTGTGAGTCCCGCCAAGTCCGGAGGTTGTACCTCCTTAGGTATCAAGGAGGTTAGCGGTAGGCGTGTGAGTCCCGCCAAGTCCGGAGGCTGTACCTCCCTAGGGTATCGGGTGAGGGGACCGAATATCCCTCTGTGTGTGTTAAGCGATGTATAAGGAAATAATACAATAAACAGAGTGTGCCTCCTAAAGAAGTCTGCTCGTCCTTACAACACTACACAAGAACACTTTCTGCTACAGCCAATGCAATCAACTGCTCAGTGTTGCAGCAACAGGAATATAAATCAACATGTTAAGGTTACCATTACGAGCCCAGTCTCAATCAACCTAACAGTGACGATGCGCGCTCAGTCATTCTTGCAAATGGCACTGCCTCGAGCCGCAGCAGCTCCCAGTGCACGAGGATTCACGTCATGGCACCACATAGCTCGAGAAACGTTTGTGGTGCTGCTGCCGCGCAGAGCCCACGGGAAACCCACCGCCAGGTAGGGCCGCATGTGCTTCACGAGCAGATTCTGCAGCGCGTGCTTTCTCATGCAGACGCTCCCCGCGCCTCCTTCACAGTTGGCGCAGAACTCGCGCACGAAGATGTCCATGACAGCGCTCAGATCCTCCACGGCAGCCGAAGGCATCACGAGATTCAGTCACCTAAACACATGTACATACCAAGATAAAACTCGCTCATCTAGCCTGTATGGGTGCCCAGTCTTATAGGACAGCTTGACTTACAAACCCCCCCCCCATCCACCCCACATAAGACTTATTATAATAATTAACACCCTCGATAACAACCAAACTACCGACGGAGGCGACAAGGCTTACCAAGTCGTGTGCAGACGCAGAGCCATTAGGCGACGCGTGCATGCTATGCAGACGTCAGATGACGGCGCTTTGCTCTGACGTATGTACAATTCAGCCCAAATGTGCAGCTGCACAGAGAACTCTGCGGAACTCTCAAAGCTCTTGTTTGTAAATTTTCCTTTTACTACATCCGAGAGGAAACGTGATGTACATGCAGAAAATGAAATTATTTCCAACGGAAGTTTGTTTTCTTACATTTTGGTAAAGGTTGTTAAAAATAAATGTTTGTAAGGGTTATTTTCACTAAATTTTGGTATTTAAAAACAAATGTAATGGGTTTTCTAGGAACGGAACCCCAATGGCTAACATTTTGCCAATGGGAAATTAAGAGTTCGACTTACAACAGCTCGACCTTTACACGTGGTCCGGGAACAAATTAGGTCGGAGGTGCAAGGTGGGGGTCGCCTGTAATACATAATTTACATTTGTAAAACGCCCTACACCCGTCTAAAGGCGCCTTTAGAAATAAAGGCCAAGGAAAGGCAACGCTAGAGAGAATAAGCGGACTTCAGAAATAATATATTTTTTAAAAGATGACTTAAAAGTATCCAAATTATAGGATAAATGAATTTACAAAGGTAGGGCATTCCAGCCGTGGAACAGCAAATGGCCGCTCACCCTAGGAAGGCAGCTGGGATCGAAGTACTCACAGAAGGGTGGGGGATTGCAGATTAACCTTGGTAAGGGGTGTAGGGATGAAGCAACCTCATGAATGTGGTACCAGCCATTGCAAGGCCTGAAAAACTAGTATACGGCTCTTGAAAATAGGCCGGTTCAGGATAGGAAACCAGTGTAATGATGAGAACTAGAGAAATATGGTCACAATGGGGTTAGGGTGAGCAGACCAACTGCCACATTCTGAACAATGTAACCTAGCAATAACCTTATTTGAAACACCTACCAGCAAAGCATTGCAATAATCGATTCAGTAGAGAATAAGTGCATGGACGAGCCTCACAATTAGTAAGTACAAGTTTGTTGTGCAGTCGATCACTGTTGGGAGGTGAACGGATTTCACAACCTTCCCACGAGCATTGAATGGAAAGGACAGATCAAATATGTTTCAGGCAAACCTTCTGGCCATCAATAACTAGGCTTGAAAGTCCTAGTTTAGGCGTTGGGGAGAGCCTACCAAGATAATTAAATCTTACTTTAATTTAGCTCTGAAAACATGTTTCCTGCAACCATGATGTTACAGTTGAAAGAAAAAGAGGTTTCTAATGTAGAATATGGTGTTAGCTGGAGGCAAACGTGGGCGTCATCTGTGTAGCAATGGTAGCGCAGCCCTAGAAATCAGTGCTGCAAAGTGTCATGTTAAATGTAAAACAGAACGGGACCAAGAACAGATCCTTGTATCTCAGACTGCACCAAAACTGACAGGACTTAGAGCCACCCAGTGAAATACGAAATGGGGTTTTGCAGACAAGAGCAGAAACACCACACGCCCCCATAATATTTTCTAGCCGTTAAATTACAACATCATTGTTAGCAAAGACCTACTACGCCCAGATGCCTTTGTATCCCAAGCAGTGATGTTTAAACACTATGTCCTCATTTGCGAAGTCGATGTAGGGAAGGCCAGAGACTGGTTAGGACTATCCGCAACAGGTGTCGACCGATCGGGAATTCAACTCTGGTCGCCGGGTTCACAAATCGCAGCACGCAAACCGCGACAATACCTATAAGAATAGGTTTTACCCTTTTAACTGGCACAAAAACTGACACCTTTATTCAAGGCATCATGTTTGCAATAACCACAACACAAGCAGTCAAAATGCAAACAAAAAAGACAACTCTGATAATAATATGCACTGTCCTTGAATTTGATTGGTCCACACCCGAGACAGCTTTTCTTAGAGCCTAGTCTCCATTGGTGTTGGACCAGAAGATGCCTTGAATAAAGGTGTCAGTTTTTGTGCCAGTTAAAAGGGTAAAACCTATTCTTATATCTTGTTTCTGGCAAAGGAGGTCTCATAACGCGACAATACCCTTCAATCCACGCGGCCTAACTGCACTAACCCTAAACAAACAAGTATTTCAGTTTTATTTATTTGGTATCGCACAGCCATTCGTCTCTTGAATCGGGTGCAACCGCAACAAACAACGAAAACAAAACATCCTAGAGTGATTATGCGACTGTACAAACAGAAAATCTAAGGAAAAAAAACAGCAAAATATTCCTGAAAAAGCACCATACACCAACGCTGTGTGCAAAAATCCCAGTGGGATGCAAGTCAAACAACAAGACAACGTGGTATTGCGTTCAGATGAAGACACCAAGCGGAAATTTAAAATTGATGCCTCAATTTCGCCCCAATGCTCGAGAACAAGCAGCGCAGAGAAGATTCACAGCGAGGAAGCCACGGACGTCGCCACCGCACTCGAGACGCCGAGCGGAGACGGAACTCACCGGGATGTAGAAGAGAAAAAAGGGGGGCGAGCAACAACCACTGAATCCGCCTCCCGCAGGGTTTAAATCGTCACCTATGTTGGTGACGTCACCAATTACCGCCTTTTACGTGTGCTGATGACGTCACGCATAATTGTTTGCACCTGTGCTCTTTACAATCATTACATCGACATGTTTTATTGATGTCACATGACCCATCGAGTCTCCGCGTGTGAATCTGACCAATTCCGTGCGTCAGCTCATTCAGACGAATTCCCTGCCCGTGCTGGGTAATGGAAGCAGTGACGATGATAATTGATGATGACGAGAAGGAAGGTGGCTGAGTTTGTCTGTCTCTATGATGTTCACTATTGTCGTGAAGGCGTCACTCGCCGTTTTGTTGCCAGGAAACTTGATCACAAATCCAATGCGAGTTTTGTTATTCAGCGTCGAATCGCCTGAACTCTCACCTCGCCACGTGCTATGCCAGCAGCTCGCCTCTCTCACTGCCACGCACAGACGCAGTTCTCGCGTTGACGATTCCACTCACAGCGCCACTCATCCTGCAGTGTCACCGAGTCTCACGAATCTCTCCCAGTATCCAGTTTCACATGGCACACATGGTTCCCACTCATCTGCGAATGCCCCAAACGCCTGGAATTCGAACGCTTCACAAATGTCCGTGATTTTCCCTCCCGTCTGTATCGTCATTCGATGCTGAGCTGTCGATTCTCTACGATAACTTCATCTGCAATTGCTCTGGACTCGAACATCCTCGCGTGTTTACAGATTAGTGTAATAGCCACCTTATATCTATTTAATAATGTTACTTATAATTATTCCACGTTCAGTCTAAAATAATCGAATTGACTCAGGCTACGGGGAATTTATGAACGATTAATTATGATTGTGCAATATTTGCGATTTTTTTCATGGGACGTAGTTGTTTTTCCTTCAATCACTTTTTTGCTTAATTGCTGTTTATTATTTATGTTGCTTAAATCACTTTAAAAACCCATAGCTCAACTGCGTCATCGTGTCATCACTAACGTCATCATCATAATTACAGCGCGATTAGAAGGACATGCATTAGACGCTGCTTGCACGATTTTGCGTTTCCATTTACACTGCCGCGTTGCTTTATATCATGAAGGTTTTCCAAAAGCCACTCCACGTTGATCTCCATTGTAATCTCGCTCGGTCTTTTAAAACGACAAATTTTGCAGTTCACACCAGTGTTCCTCCAGCAGAGATGTCCAGGTTTATAGCGACCTTGTGCATAACCTTTGCTCAGCGCGTGTGCATTAACAGCCCAAATTGAGCTTTTACTGTAAAGTTTATCTCGCATTGTCAGATGGCCACTTTTCATTGCACGTTGTAATGGATCATTATCCAAAGAGATTTAGTCCTTTTTCCATGTGTAGTGGGTTCCAGAGACACTTCAGATAGGTAACTTCTTTATTACAATACAGCACTCCAACAGTCCTCCTTATACACTGGTTCAGCCTAGGGACACAGCCTACTCCTAGCGTGCCGTGACACTGGCAACGCTCTCGGGTCCTCCGCTATAATTACCCTAGGGGAGGCTACCCTGACCCGACACAGCCAAAGTGCGGGTCTAGACTTTGGCTTCCTCTGACCTCGCCTTTACAAGGGCGTGGGGCCGGGAGTCCCAGAGCCCCAACACTGGCCCAGAGCCCCACCACTGGCCCAGAGCCCCACCACTGGCCCAGAGCCCCACCACTGCCCCAGAGCCCCACCACTGGCCCAGAGCCCCACCACTGGCCCAGAGTCCCACCACTGGCCCAGAGTCCCACCACTGGCCCGCACAGCGTCCCGGTCCTGATGAGGACAGCGGGTCAAGGGGGTCCAGGGTCCTATCTAGCTGCTGGTCTTCGGCTTCGGTGTTCAACTGGTTCCCGATCGGCTGGGCAGGTCCCCTTTTATTCCCCTTGCTTATTGAGGGGTGGGGCTGTGAGGGATCCTGGAAGCCCCGCAGCCCCCCCTCCCCCCCCCCGTTTGGAGCGCCAAGGGGCTTAGCTGTCTGGGGATCCTAGAACCCCCAGCAGCCCCTCCCCTCTTGGGCTGGCGCTGCAGCCCCTCCCCTGACGGTACGAGGTACCGTTTCATCTATTGTGCTACACGTGTATCTGTGGCTTTATTTCTGGACAAAAGTCGCAGTGGACAAAGAGAGTAAAAACGCAATTCCCTTTTAATGTCTGCGATGATTTTCTCGACAGTGTAGCCTCTCGCCTTCTGAGGTTGAAAGAACTCAACTTTCACAGAGTTGAAGCTCTTTCCATCGCCTGCAACGGCTAGGGAAAATGCTACCTGATATTCGTTTGCCTCCCAGACCATCTCAAAGTCGGCACTTCTCGACGGCAAAGGAAGCTACTTAACCGTACAAGGCTCAGGCGTGTGGTTAACCTCTAAATGTTCTACACATCTCTGAAAGGATCTCAGTGAACATTGTAAATAATGGAGTCAGCAAATGGGTCTAAATTAGGTCAGTTGCATGAACTCTAGTTGACAAGGAGCGATGAGTGCCAGGGTTCGACCCGTTCTCGGGGCTATTAAATCGGGCATCACGAGAAGCCGCTCATAACGGCCCTGGTGCTAAAAAGCAGAGCCCGATGTCGTAACGCTGTGGGGTCAGTGCCGCTCTCGTCGGCTCCTTTAACCTACGAGGGTGGGAATGAGTGAAGGCCACAACGATTGTCCAATAACCAACCCGGTATTACAGGGATGGAACCAACAACATCTGTATTCACTGCTCACCTGTTCCAACCACTTCATCACCAGGATAAGGAAGAGTGCGCGAGTGACTTTATTCATATTTTTTTCTCACAGGATTTATTTCGGTTTTTCAGCAAAAATGGGCGGGCCACAAGGCCCCTTGGTAAGGAACACATGCTCCTGGAACGGGGCATAGCCGGCCAAGAAGATTTGCATTAACGTGGCCATGAACCCCTCGGAGTCCTCGCAGCCGCCTGGATTCATGTGAAGATCCGTCATGATCTCGCGCACTTCATCCAGGTCGTTTGCGCCCTGCAGTCGGAATCGGGAGGGGGGGGGGTGTTACAAAGAGATTTCCGACCTCAGCCCAGGGACACAGAACTGCAGCTGTCGGCCGTGTGGATTGGTGCCCGAATACAAAGAGTGGCGCTACACGGGCTTCAGTAACATCAGTTGCACTGTAGTGTTATGTTCACACTTCTGCCTTCAATCTCTCATTAACAAGATAAAGGGGGGGTAAAAGAATCGCGACTTGCATTTGTGAAGGTTGCTGGCCTCCGGCTCCTCCCCCGATGGAGGGTTGATCCCGGGGGAGCTACTGCCCTCCAACTCCTCCTACCCTTGAGAGTCGCTGCTCCCCATCTCCTTGTCCGGGCGAGGGCTGCTGCTCCCCGACTCCTCTCCTCGCGCTGTGGCTCCTCGGGTCCGCGACCCCACCCCCTCCATGTCCTCCCTGTGAGGCATAACTCGGGCTGGCACTCGGCCACCGGGAATTAATCCCTCGCCTCCACGCGTCTACTCCTACAAACGTTAGTGGGAGACTCCCCGCACCTTGTTCCTCACACTCGTGCACAAGCAGTCACTCAGATCCGGCGTCGCCTCTCTCTCACAGTGCCGCGCACCACACGTATGCGTGGGACGGAGGTCAGGGGTCAAAGGGCAGTGACGTCACTCGCACACGCATTGCCGCCGCAGGTGTGTAATGGAGATGATTTAAAGGGCGGTGGGGCGGGTATTCAGGATCGGTTTTAGAACTAGTATTGTGGTACACTGGGGAATTAAATAAATACTTTAATCGTCCTCCGGCTCCTCTGCGCAATGATGAATACTGGCTTCTTGAATTTTCATCTCATCTGGTTAAACAAAATCAACTTTATTTTTAAAAGGGTTTATTTGTGCAGTGTTGATTGATCATACTTCACTGCTGGTAAGTCAGTGGTGGTGAATGGGATGGGGAACAAAAAAAGCAAGACCGTTTCAGTTATCACATCATGTTCCTGCAATAGGAATACAGAGCATGCACTCTCACCCCTCAGACACCACACTGAGATTGGCGTTTGTAGCTGCACTTTGAGCAGGGGAGCTGGCAGAGCTGTGGGGAACATCACCGCCTCTCCATGTTCCACCTTCAAAAACATTTTGAAGCCTTCCTGAGGTCAGACTGGGAATACTGCTGGATATGCGCCTTTTTCCAAAATTAATATTAACAAGAAATTCGCTTATACATATATATTTTTTTTCGAAATAATTAATGAATAAAAACATAAGAGCATAGTAACTGAAAAACAACACGTAAGCCAAAAAGACGCCTTGTCCTCCCGTAGCGGGTGAAAGCGGAGATAAGAGCGTGCTAACGAACTCAGCAGCAGACCTTGGCAATAATTGGGTTGGGGAAATTGCAAGGCAATTAACACAGGCTATCTGTGTGCAAGGTAGGGCTAACCTAAATTAAATAATGATGCAGACAGAACATTGACACTAACACTATCCACCTTATAATTAAATTAATAAAATAAACAAATAATAGGCCCCAAGGACAACCTTCCAACCTCCGCACGGGCCGCATTGTAAAAAAAAACAGACAGAGCACAGCACAGCAAGCTGCAGGGTCACGTAAGAGCATAGCCTAGGGTCGCGGAGAGTTCACAGTAGCCACAGACATCGGTAAGTCAAAAAGATCATCCAGTTACACCGCATTGCTTTAAAGTAACGTTAAAGTTTGAAATTCGACAATAGGAGTAGGCTAAACTATCGATCCTCGTGCTCGCTCCAATTGGAGACAAGGCTACGAGCTACAGCAAAGAACTATTGCCCATTTGCTAATCCAATACTGAATGTTAATTCATCTTCAATAAGTTCATGTACAACCTGACCGAAGCGTATGACAAACACAGAATTTTTACTAAAGTCACAACGAATTCTATAACCTCCGGACATAATCAAATAAGAATGCAGTGTTAATTTAAGGTTAGAAAAAAACACACACGTAAGTCAGAGCAGCCTGAAGTGGGGGCGGGAGAGGCGCCTGCGGGTACCCGTGTAAAGCTGATCTCGGCACGCCAAAGACCAGAGCCAACTCATTATTACGGCCACCTGCGCTCACAAGGCTGAGAACCGATAGATAACACTCCTCCACCGCAGCCAGACAAAATGACGAAATTAATGAGGACTGGAGAGGAGACCTTGAGATGAATGGCGTGTGTAGACCGAGAGGCAGATAAAGGCGCAGCCCTGAAGCGAGGGCGGGAGAGACTCCATCGGGTGTCTGTGC